GCCTGAGAGGGGTGCCGTGCTCAGGGTCTGAGCCAGGACAAGCAGTCTTCTCCAGCTGTGTCATTTTTAGCTGGAGTTCTCTGGCCTTTCTCATTCTTGCAGTGAATTTCCCGCAATGAGGGTACTGATCCATAGAGTGCTCTTCACCCAAACAGCGGACACACTCGGAGCGTGCGTCCCATATGCGAATGGATAGCCTGCAGCTCGCACACCACTTAAATCCTGGCAGGCCATGCATTCCCTAGTAAAAGAACGTTTTAGGATGGCTTCTGCCAAGTGACACCCCAACAGTTAAGTATCTATACTGAATCTAACTGGAACAGGAAAACCCGGAGGAAAAAAAACATTTTTTCTATAGAGTAAGACAAAAAAATAACAGAGTTAATATTTACCTTTAGTATTACTGTGATCTAACTAACTATAAGTAGGTAAGAATGAGGGCGACTGCTAAGCTGCGACCGAAGCCGGCAGCGGTAAAAAAAGGAACTGAAGAGACGGTTGGCTCTGCATGCAGGACAGCCGTTTCAAATGTTGCGTGCCGCAGTCTCGCATGTGCAGCCGACCATTGGTACAGCTACCTGAAGTCTCCAGGGAGAGGTGCGGCGGCGTTTACTCACCTAAGGTGGAGCACCCACAGGGACGCCTCTTGAAGAAGAACCCCCCCCCCCTGAAATCCATCTCAGCCAGAGATCTCTTGAGGCAACTCACTTAATTTCCCTGTGTCTCAGTTCTCCCTTTGCACATAAGAGGGAGGGAAGGAAAAGGTACGCAGCAGGAGACCATGGGGCAAGCAAACAGAAGTCTCCCAAAGTCTCTGTTCCAATTTCAGTGCAGAACAGAGACCACTGTGCTGAGTACAGAACAGTGAACAGAATGAGAGTGTTACTGCGACACAGCAAAAGGAAAACGTTCTTCTATCCTGGAGATCTATTGCCGGTACTTGTCTTCCAACACAAATGCAGCGAGTCTCCTCCTCCGATGACTGTTATTCTTTACACACAGTACTGCACATATAAGCCAGGCACTGAGTATCTTTTGAGACTGCAGACCTGATCCTATAAGTCCATAGGAGATATCCCTCTGACTTCAGTGAAAGCAGGATTACGACCTTTTTTTTAAGACCTGTTATTCTGGGCAGAATTGTGTCTACGAAGGCAGAGAGAAAATGATTGTGTAGCTACTCCTAAGGAGGGCGCTGGTTCTTTGCAGAAGGCTGGGCCCAGAGGAATGAGGAGGTGTGGAACAGAATACAAGTGGCATTGTAAAAAGGGCCCACCCACGGTGATGCAGCAGCCCTGCCGCTAGCACTGACTTTAATAATTATCACACCTCTCCGGATCAGGCCCACCTGGAATGGGAATGTTCCTGCCCTCGGGCTGAGCTTATTAAAATGCCAGGCACTGCACCGGAATCTTACAACGTGCAATGAGAACACAGCATAGTAAGGTGCCAGGGAAAATGGTTTATTATGGTGTGTCCCTGGAGACGGTTAAGAGCAAGAAAATTAAATTCTCTTCTCTCTTTTGTTTTCATGGAAGTTTAGGTAAAGAACTAAACCCAACAGCCATGTGACTGGGGCAAGGCATCTGGGCAGACAGCTGGCACTTATCTGGGGGGGGGGAATTTACAAGAAACCACCATTGGTTCCGCGTTAGCGCTGCTGGGCCCTTCCTGGTTTTGGCATGTCTAGTACACAGGGTGGGGAATTAGGACCGACTGCAAGAGCACCGCTTCTGCCGTGGTTCCCAGTCACATTAACACAGCGCGGGATTTGGTCGGTAAACGGCCTGAGGTCTGAGACAGCCTATAGAGAATTCTGGTATGTGGGCGAGCGCTACGACGCGGCAGACTTCAGCTGCTGGCTCCCACCTTCCACACAGTCGCTATGTATTCTTCCTGCCTTGGGCAAATAAAGCTCCTCTTACACAACACCCTTCTGTGCTGACTTGTTGTTCCATGGCCTCTTGATGATTCGGTAAGTGCCATGGGGAGAGAGAATAAAAGACAGGGATAAAATTGGCAGTGAGATAGCAAGAGCAACACCAGCTCGGTAGAGCTGCAGCAGAATCTGGGCACCAAGGCATCAAAATGAAGAACCACCACCAGAAACTGGTTCCATTAGTGAAAGTTTTCTGAGCCTTCCAGCGAAGATCCTGCCTTGAACAGTGCCCAGAAGTGCTGAACAGGACAAAGAAAAAGGAGATCTGGAGATACTAGTGCACAGGGGAAGCACCACCAAAAAGAACATGGTGACTTCTGCTTGTGTTTTCCAGACCTTAGAACAGGTCTCATGGAACAAGAAAAGTCCTGACTTACAAGCCACCATTGAGAAACTCAACACAGAACAAATAAGCCACCATCACTTAGGGCCAGGTTTTCTAAAGAATTGCGCTGCCATTCAGGCATCACTCAATCATGGATTTAAAAGTAGCTGTTCGTCTACAAAGGAATTTCACTACCCAATTACAGAGAGAGGCTGCAGAACCAGAGTTAATTTAAAAGTTTGACACTATCAACTTGGGCTTGAATAGAGATTCTAACTGGTTAACACGCTACAAAGGCAATTTCCCCCACCTTTATTATTTGCATCTTCACATCAAATGTTACATAGGGAACACATCTAGCCTCACTTAATTAGCTTCATTAAGCCTACAATCAACAGGTAACTGCTTTCGCTGTTATATATACACTAGATTCTGTAATTTCCACTCCAATTCATCAGAGGAAGTGGGTTTTACCCACAAATATTATTAATATATTTGTAAGTCTCTAAGGAGCCACAGAACTGCTCATTGTTGTGTAAACTGTGCACCTCTCAAGCCTTAAGAAAATTAAACAACCCTCTGAAGTTGTTTGGAGGCCAGCGAGTGAGAGACTGAAACATATCCGAGACACAATGGAAACTGCCGCTCTTGAGTTTCCAGTTTCACAGCAGAAAGAGGGGCACATGAGAACGGAAGAACAAATTCGGGCAAGATGACCGGGAGGGCTTCTTTGAGCGGGCAGCAATCAGCCAGTTCCCAGTGCCACCCACACTAGATTGTTGAAACCAAAACAATTCGAGGTCCCTGAGGAAATAATTGGGGAGCTTTGCTGAGACAACAGAGCAATAAAAAGGGCACGAATCATGGTGGGATGAAGAGTCTCTATGGACCTGCCTTCTCTCCTGGATCCTCAAAGTCTAACATTCTTATTTTCATATACAGCTGAGCTATTGGGTTGGGATGGGCTGGCTGCTGAAACTGACCGGCGGGACTTAAGAAAGCTGAGTAGCACACCCCGTCCCTGAAGAGTTCTTTCCTCACCACCACTGATCTCCAAAAGCCTGAAGTCAGATAAGACGTGAGCCTGATGCTGAGAAATGAGAGCAGCCTTCAATTCCCTGACGGGGGCTTCCACAGAGGCTGGGGAGAGGCTGTTCTCAGTGGGGGCAGGTGGCAGAACAAGGAGCAATGGGCTCACGTTGCAGTGGGGGAGGTCTAGGTTGGACATTAGGAAGAATGATTTCCCTAGGCGGGGGGTAAAGTATTGGGATGGATTCCCTAGGGAGGAGGTGGAATCTCCATCTCTAGAGGTGTTTCAGTCCTGGCTGGACCAAGCCCTGGCTGGGCTGATTGAGTTGGGGTTGGTCCTGGATGATTTTGGGCAGGGGGCTGGACTGGATGACTCCTGAGGTCTCTGCCAGCCCTAGGGGTCTACAAAATGCCCAGTGCCTCCTACAAGGTACGCTCACCACAATGGCTTTACCAGGACTGACTTGCAACTGCTCGCTCCGTACAGGACTGGGTCCAACGAAAGGTGCTATTCCGCAGGGAAGGAGTCACGTCACATGCCTCCGACCTGAGCGGTGACCACAGGCTGCCTCCCTCCCCTGTGCTACAGAACTTTGGTGCTGTTTGATCTTTATCTATCCCCTCCTCCCCCTCAAATCCCAGGAGCCACGTGGTACAAACCACATGAGCAAAGGAATTAACTCCCTCGCCTCCAGTTGGGGACCATTCCACCCCAGCTATGGAGGGGACACTCCAGCCCAGCTGGTCTGGAATGTCGTCCCCCCCAAAGCTGGAGTGCCCCCCCACTTCCTCTTTAATCAGTTAACTAGTTTAACATCACATTTAACCAGTTAACCAATTAAATGGGATTTTACATCCCTAGTAGGTACACGCCAAATAAGTGAACACCTAGAAAGGATAGGCCTTAGAAATGTAAGAAAATAAAATGGGGCCAGATTTTTTTTTTAATAACATGGGGCTAGCTGGAAGGAACAGGTTCAAAAGATATCGTGTGATTTTCATTTGAACTGCTCTGTAACAGGGTGACCTCAAAACCCCAGTCAGTTCTCTAGAGCATACAGCATAGATAGGCGCTAATTCCCCTAACTCAAATATACACCGTGGCTACGTCTAGACTGGCATAATTTTCCGGAAATGCTTTTAACGGAAAACTTTTCTGTTAAAAGCATTTTCAGAAAAGAGCATCTAGATTGGCACGGACGCTTTTCTGCAAGAGCACTTTTTGTGGAAAAGCGTTCGTGCCAATCTAGACGCGCTTTTGCGCAAAAAAGCCCCGATCGCCATTTTAGCCATCGGGGCTTTTTTGTGCAAAACAGCACTGTGCTGTCTACACTGGCCTTCTTGCGCAAATGATTTCCGCAAGAGGGCTCTTGCCTGAACGGGAGCAGCACAGTATTTCCGCAAAAACACTGACGATCTTACATGAGATCGTCAGTGTTCTTGCGGAAATTCAAGCGGCCAGTGTAGACAGCTGACAAGTTTTTCAGCAAAAGCAGATGATTTTGCGGAAAAGCTTGCCAGTCTAGACACAGCCCATGGGTGAAATTCACTCCCCGCCAAGAGCAGACACTCACACAAGTGCCGGCCTCAGTGGTGGAAGGCAGCGTGCTGGTTCACTGCACGAGGATCCCTTTCACGCCTTTGCGTTCTGTACAGATTGCACGAGGACCCTGCCGTGCCGCCACACTGTTTCAAAGGGTTTCTTACCGTCGCTCCCCGGTGGCTTGTACGGGTTGTACTTTGGCTTTGGAGCAACCACGGGGGCAAACTTCTTCGGCGTCTGCTGCGTGGACACAGAAATGCTGGGGGTCCCAAACGCGTGGGTGGTCTCCATCCTGGCCGTGACATGGCCGACGGGTTCGGTGGCGTTCTTTGGCGGCAGCCATGAAGGGTGAGACATGGTTCAGATCTGGGGAAGGATGAGGAAAAACAACACCACGGACATTAGGTTTTTAAACTGGAAATAAAAGTTGTAAAATACAAACACACAAAAACACTGGGGGCGGGGGGGGGAGGTTTCTCTTTATTACATGGCATACGAACTTGTTTGTTTATCCCTACGACAGTGTGTCAGAGGTGGCGGCTTTGAGGAGTAAGACTGAGCTGCATTTCCCACCTCCCCCATTACTCTTACAGATAGGCCCTTTCTCCAAAGGGAGGGAGATCAAAGCAGAGACATGCTGGCAGGAGAGGAACTCGTTCCACCTCCCCTTTGAGCTTCAAACAAGGCTTCTCAGCATGTTTCCGATTCCACAGCCTGTTCATATCTCAGCCTCCACAGCCAGGCTGTCAAGGAGGGGACCACCAGGAGCCTTGAGGCGGATGATTTCTCCGCTGTGAAGGACGGCAGGGTGACCCTGTGGAAAATCCCCATGCGCCTCAGTAAGATGAGGGTCACACTGCCCTGCCTTTGCAAGGCTGCTCCGAGGGCGGGAGGTGCTCCCAGACGATGGGGAAGAGCGCCAGAACCGAGCAACGGGGCTTCTGAAAACTCTACCTCACACGCCTCATTCCCGAATGCAAAGATCCCTCGGGCACTGAGGTACCACAGTCCCACTGACTTTCAAGGAAGCATCTGAGGTCAAATTTTTAAAAGGCAACTGATTGGGGATGCCTACACGCCTCATTCCCAAATGCAAAGGTCCCTCGGGCACTGAGGTACCACAGTCCCACTGACTTTCAAGGAAGCATCTGAGGTCAAATTTTTAAAAGGCAACTGAGTGGGGATGCCTCCATTTCTGGACAGCCAACCCAAGACACTGTAAACCGGGGTGGGGAACCTGCGGCTCCTGGCTTTCTTAGATCTGGCCCCTGAGGGTCAACGCTCCCTCCCCCCAGTACTGGGGAGCCTATCAGTATACTCCTGCAGGACTGGGGCCCACAACTTCTACTAAACTGGGCTCCCCGTAGCTCTGATGTGTGAGGGGAATGAGGCCCACGTCACTTTGGAGAATTTGGGGGTTGGTTTGGGGATTTTTTTGCTTCTCACTTGCATGCAGCCCCTGACTGATTTTTCTGTATCTCAGCAGCGTCAGACCCAAAACAGGTTCCCCAGCCCTTCTTTAAACCCACCAACTCCTCCCCAGAACATGGAACGAAATTCCCCATTCCACTCAGAGCCGCTCACAATCTGATTTTCCCCGGGAAAAGATGCCACACACCCCGGCAAATCTGAGCTCAGCATCCATGCCAACCACTGAGGTGAGCTCCAGGCACGTCCCTGAATCAAAACCAGGAGTCATGGGGCACCTCAGAGACTGAGAGATTTACCCGAGGAAGCGGCTTTCACCCACGAAAGCAGACGCCCTAATAAATCTGTTCGTCTCTAAGCTGCCACCGGCCTGCTCGGTTCTTTTGCCGACTCAGCTTAACCCGGTCACCCCTCGGCGACATTTCACTGAATGAGTAATAGTGACAAAAGTGATTTTTTTTTGGCCCGCTGGAGTTGTATGCAAACTGCATTTTTTTAATAGCTCACCAATAGGCTGATGCGGGACTTCACAAGGGGATGCAGAAAGCAGCGGTGAAAGAATTGAGACACTCTAGCGGGGGGGAGGGAGAGAGGGCGGAGTACGGCAGGAGGGAGGATGTGACAGAGGGAGACGAGGACCAGACAAAGAGGCGGGACCTGAGAACTGCGGGGGAGCCGAGGCGCTGAAGGCAGAAAGCACAAATCTGACGCAGGAGAGGAGTTGGCGTAGGGACTGGACGAGGGGGCGAGGGCGTAGAAATGGAAAACGAGGGATCCTGCTCGATCGGGACTGTCCAGGCCACACCCCAAGCAGCTGTACACTAGGGATGTGAATGGGTAACCGGTTACTCGGCAAGCATCATCCCAACCGGTTAACCGTTACCTGGGAGCAGCCCCCTGGCCATGGCCCACGCAGGCAGAGGGCTGATCCAGCCCGGAGGGGCAGCTGGCTTCCTGCCTGCAAGGGCGGGGAGGGAGCAGCCTTGCGTGGGGCCGGAAGCAGCAGCCAGGGGCGGTATGCAAGGAATGACCCTGCCAGCGCTCAGCCTGCACAGGCTCATGGGCTGGGAATCGGCCGCCTCACGCAGGGCCAGAAGTTGTAGCGGGGCAGGTAACAGACTCCCAGCCCCCTGCCCGTGCCCACCGAATCAGTTAACTGGTTAAACTTACCGTTTAACCGGTTAACTAATTAAACAGGCTTTCACATCCCCACGTCACCCACTCTGCGTCATGTCCCTCCTTCCGCGCAACCAACCATCGGATCCCTGTAGCCCTCCACTACACCCGCCCGGGAGAAACGAATCACCCTCAGCCTTTCACCAACCCACACGTGAGGACTTGGTGGACTGAAGACCTGCTTCCGCTGGCCACTAATGTCACCAGCGTGGTCACCGGTTCCTCCTGAAAAGCGACGCTGCAGCTGACATCTGCTGTCTGCCTGTCGATGCTTCTGCAAGCAAATCACTTTCTATTTGCCGCTTTCCCTTCCGAGAGTCCCTCCTGACACACCGGAATAAACCAAACCATCCCAGTCCATATTCTGTCTCCAGTCACCCCCATCAGCGAGACCCTCTCTCCTCGAATTCCCCCCAGAAACTCCCCCGTGGCCGGCATGTCAAATGCAAACTCCTAGCTCTCGCGTATAGGGAACTACAAAACTCTGCCTAAGCCTGTATCTAACTTCCTCCTACCTCCGTGTCCCCTCTCAGATACGCACAGGCCTTTTATTCTGACAGCAATGCGCCAATTATTTACTTCTGCGTGCCTGAGGCTGCGTCTTCTCCCGTGGTGTTTTCCATCCTTAAAATGCCCTTGGCAAGGACTGTCTGCCAGACCACTATCTTCTCCTCATTCACCTCCCTCCGAAAACCCTATTTCTCCCATCAGTGCTAAGGCTGGATGGGACCATTATGAGCATCTACCTCTTGGGTAACACAGGCCATAAAATCTCACCCGATAATTGGGGCATCAAGCCATAGCTTGTATTCAACCTCAAGAAGAGACTCGACTTATTAAAATGATGAATCCACCGTATCTCTAGGCAAGTTCTTCCAACAGTTAATTACCCTCACAAAAATACACCTTGTAACTAGCCTGAATTTGTCTAGCTTCAGCCAGTGAATCTCGTGATGCTGTTTACAGCGGAATTAAAGCATTGTCTCCTACCAGAAATCTCTTCCCTGTGTAAGTATGTGTAGACTACAGCCGAAGCACCTCAAACGTCTCTTGGATCAACGGAATAGACAGAGCACCTTGAGTGCCTCGCTCTACAGGAGGTTTTCCAGACCCTAAATGATTCTGGTTGCTCTTTTCTGCAACCGTTCTAAGTTTACAACTTCCTTTGTGAAGTGGGGATGCTGGAACTCGCCACGACGCCACGCCACGAAAGACAATTAAGAACACTGCAAACCAGAAAGTACAGCCAATAAGCTGGTGCTTGGTTACAGGGCCAGCTGTCTCTCGAGTGGCCCCTCGTGGCCCAGCGTCACTCTGAGGCACCCTGTCTCTGTCGCGTTGGGACTGCAATGGGCCACCGAGGCTAGGGAGTGGGTCACATGAGTGACCCCCCCTCATCTCAGCGGGCCGCAAGATAGTCGTCACCAAGATGGTCGTTTTGCTCGCTACGCTGGCATCCCTCGAATTTGCAGGATGAGCGACAGAACCGCGGCAGCGCTGTGACTGGCTGCAAAGGGAACGCCCGGCTCTCACAATGTTGTGTGCAATCCGCGCGCCCCTCCCGTCCCGTGTGCTAACCATCAGAGCATGTCAATTTAGTAACACCAGTGGGGGGAAAAACCCATGGACAGCAACCTGCATCATCTGGCAACCCTGCACGTAAGCAACTGTAAACAGAGGGGCTCGTGGGCTAGAACCCTGATGGGCAGCAGGTTGCCCACCACAGCTTTCGGGACTTCCTGGACAAACTGCTCATCCCCAGACCAAGGGTAATATGAAAGATTTCCCCCCTGGGGTTCAGTTTATTTAGTCATTACACAGTCTGACCCTCCAAGAGCCATCCCCAGTTCAGCCTCTCTTCCCCTCTCTTCCCCCCAAAGTAGAGAGTCCCCCTCCTTCCTGGGGCTGGAGCCCAATTCAGCCACCACCCCCAGGCTTCAGCTCCGCCTTCTGACTCTGACTTCCAAACTCCTCTGTGTCAGGGTCCTCCACGTGCCTTGGCAGGTTACAGCTCCCATCCCTCCTAGCTGGGGCACGCTCCCCTGTTCTCAAGGGTCTGCCCTGCAGGAGATTTTCCTCACTCTGCAGTCTCTGCTAGGCCTTCCCCCCTCCCTCCCCCAGGTTCCCGCTGCTCCTTCTAGTGCAATACCTTGAGCTCACCCCGGTGGCCTCTACGGCAATCAGGGTCCAGTAGCCTAGTCCCGTTAGCTCTGAATTATAGAATCCTAGAACTGGACGGGCCCTCAAGAGGTCATCAAGTCCAGTCCCCTGCCCTCACGGCAGGACCAAGCACTGTCTAGACCATCCCTGACAGGTGTCTGTCCAGCCTGCTCTTACATATCTCCAGTGATGGAGATTCCACCACCACCCTAGGCGATTTATTCCAGTGTTTAACCACCCCGGCAGTTAGGAAGTTTTGCCGAATGCCCAACCTAAACCTCCTTTGATGCAGTTTAAGCCCACTGCTGCTTGTCCTAGCCTCAGACGCTAAGGAGAACAATTTTTCTCCCTCCTCCTTGTCACACCCTTTTAGGTACTTGAAAACCGCTATCATGACCCCTTTCAGTCTTCTCTTTTCCAAACTGAACACACCCACTTCTTTCAATCTTCCCTCAGAGCTCATGTCTTCTAGACACATACTCATTTTTGTTGATCTTCTCTAGACCTTCTCCAATTTCTCCACAACATTCCTGAAATGTGGTGCCCAGAAGCCACCTTGTCACAGGCACTGAGGACAGAAACCAGCTTGTAGCAGTGCTCTG